CAGGTAAAGAGGGTCCCCCCCCCCCCCGAACCTTCTGTTGTTCAGGCGGGACTCAGGTTCACCCCTTCCCAAGGGCCTCGAGAGAAGCCCAAGCAGTCCGGTGCACATCCCCTGCCTCCCCCTTACCTCCTGCGTCAGAAAGGGTATAATCTGGGCACAGATGGCACTCAGTCTCTTGACAATCTCTGCCTGAAAGAGGAAGTAGATATCACCAAGGATGGGAAGGCTGAGCCTGGTCCCATCCCCTCCAGTGGAGAGGAGGGCAGCCAAGCATCCTGCAGATGCACGCAGCCTCTGCGGAGGAGATAAACTCTCCCCACCCGCACCCGCTTAGCATAAATCCTCCTCCTGCCTCTGCGTCCCTGCTGGGATTTCCCAAGCTGCTGCCAAGGGAGGACTCTGCCCAGGGCTGTGGGACCCTCCCAGGCTGTCAGGTTCCCCCAGGCACATGGGAGGGAACCCGACTCCTAAATCCCTCCATGGATTCAGGCCAAGCAGAGCTCTGAACTGTCAGTCCTTTCGCAGCCCAGCTGGCTTTGCTCAGCCCAAACCCATCTTGGCTTCGTGGGCTGCCGCTCTCACAGCCAGCGGGCAGGCTGGCAGGGAAGAAGGAGAGCCGAGCCACAAGCACTGGCAGCAGGCCATCAGCATGCTGCTTGCTCTCTCCCTGAACATTGGACTCGAAGCCAGGGGGAGAGCAAGGGGGACGCAAAATTCACACAAATGAATTCAGCCCTCTGCATCATGCCAGCAAAGCCCTGCAAGGCACCAACGGTGGTACCTGCTCTGCCCTTCCCGCCCCAGCCGGATAAGGGGCTCGGGCTCCTGCTCCCACCCCTGCCGAAGCGCCAGGCCAACCACCAGCTCTCCCTGCTCCTTCCAGTGGGGGAGTGGAGGCACAGAGCACCCCTGTACCTGTCCCCTGCCCAGCAAGCGGCAATGAGAAAATGCAAAGGACCTGGCACGTCCTCTCCTCAGCCTGTGGTTATAGACAGACCCACAGCCCGGCCGTATCCCCACCAGGGTAAGCATTTCCCAAGGGAAGGGGCTATGGCTTTCCAGCCCAGCCTCTCCAAAAGAAAACCAGCTCCTCCTGGGGAAAACTTGATCCCCCCCACCCGCTGCAAATCCACCCTGGCACTGGCAGAGGGATTGGCTGCTCTGAAGTGTTTTCTCATCTCAGGTTTCCAACAATCCCCGACAGCATTGCAGAGAGGTCAAACCACGCACAAAGCCAGCAAAGAACAAAGGGAACCTTTACCTGCTGCACTCAAAGGCTGCCTGCGCCCTGGGGAGCTTGCCCACACCCACCAGCACCCTGGTCCTGGCTGCTGCATCAGCCACCACCCCAACGCCCACACGGGACCCAGGGAGCCAGAGACATCCCCCCGCCCTCCCCGGACCTCTCCTGCCCACACAGAGCCAGGAGCCGGACCCGGGTGGGCCAGGGCTCCCTCTCCCCAACCACTTGGCCATCGCCTCTGTCACCCCACGTGGCTCGGGCCACCTCTGGGTCCCAGTCCCACCCCTGGGTCCCACTCCCACCAGAGCTCTGAGCACGTGGGGATGGCAGGAACGTGCTTGCAAGCTCTACGACTCTCCCTGCTAACAAAAGGAGCAAACTCGGAGGGGCTGAGCCAGCTGGAGGAATATGGCAGTTGACTTGCCACTTTGTCAGGCATTGGTCCAAACTAATTTCCCTGGCAGAGAGCCCGTGATGACTAGATTGATAAATCTGAAGAGGGAAAGCAAATTAACGCTGGAACAAAAGGGGAACCAGGGAAGGGTGAAAACACTCCTCTGGCTTCAGGAAAGGAAAAGGGGATTAAAAAAAAAGAGAAAAGAAAAGAAAGACAATCCATTTGCCTCTGGGCTCCAGCTCCTGCTGTTTCCTCCACGCTCCCTCCTGCGTCTGGGGCCCCAGAGAACCGCTGCAGGGAGGGACATGCGCAGGGCTCACGGCCAGGTTCTGAGAGGTGCTTTGGGATGGCAGGGAGGAGGCCCTGTCCCAAGGCACCTACCAGAACTCAACAGCACACATCCTGACAACTGCTGAACCCCTTTGCAGGCCAACCCCTCGCAGAGCCGTGCTACGTCTCCTGTGCCATTACAGCTACACAGGGATGAGAGAGATCATTTTTCAACAAAGTCTCCATCCTCGGCCTCTTCCCCGCCATCCCCTGCTGCTGGCCCGGACCCCACCTCACTTACCTGCTTATGCATTTCAATGTTCAGCCCGTAGGACATCTCATAGTACTGAGAGCAAAATCACAACACAGCCTGGTTAGGAGCTGCCCAGAGCAACTGGTCCATTACAGCCAACCAGGGGCTCAGCAGCCAGCCCACCCCTGCTCCCCCCAGCCAAACTCCACTGCTGCTGCTGGGGGTCTCTGCTCCCCCCAGCCCCTAAGAAACAGCTGTCCAGCACGCCATGGACCCAGACCCGTGTCACGAGCCTGGGACAAGGTAGGGAGCAGCCACGGTGTAGACTGTTTAACACCTGTGATGATTACACTGCAGTTTCTGCATTAGTTTAAGCCAGCATAAGCCAGCCCTGTTGTCCCCCCACATCCCCTCCTGTCCTGGCCTGTCCCTTCCCATTCCTAACCCAGACCCACTCCATGATACAGCTGTCCATCTAGTCACAGGGGTGGCCATACCAGCGCAAAAGCAAAGATGACATCAGGTTACACCTTTCGCCAGTCACTAGTGACTCCGGCAGCAGTGACAGCAGCAGACCCCGTCCCCTCGCCCCTGAGGACGGGGAGAAGGTGGGGACCAGAGGACCTGTATTCCTCCAGCAAAGCCCATTTCAAAGGCGGCAGCCCACCTCTGGGAATCCCCGAGCCTCCAGGATGTGGGAAGGGATCCCAGCTAGTGGGTGACAGGAGCATGCCCTGTGATGCCGATAAAGCAGAGTACATCCCTGGCCTCACAGACAGGGCTGTTATCACCCAGGAGATGGAGCTTGCCTAAGTTTAGGTCTGTTTGCCTTTTGGATGGCATAATTTGGGTTCCCCCTTTCCCTAGAGGGGCCGGTAACGTCAGATGCTGAAGGAGAGTGAATGCTGCTCTGGCTCTGCAGTTCCCATCCTCTTCCCTTCCTTCCAGCAGCTATCCCCCCTCCTGCCAGGGCTACCAGCAGAAGGCCTGGCCTCTGGCTGGTGCCCTGAGTGGGTCGGTGTCCAGGGCTATTAACCCCACACTGGCAACTGCAGAGAGGTCCTGCCCTGCTCCTTCTAAAGGCAGCCTCCCCTTCCACCCAAAACGCTGGCCTTGGGGTGTCGCTTCCAAGACGCCCCCCCCTTGGGAGAGAGACAGGAAGGAGGGGGAGAGAGCTCTTAAAAGGCCAAACAAAAAAAGGAAAAAGAGAAAATAAAAGAGACAAAACCTACGGCTAGAGCCGAGTGGCAGCAGGCATCAGCAGAGGAGCCAGCCATTGCTAGGAATAACGATTAACTCCTTCCTAACTCACACCCCCCCCAGCCCCACCACCCAGGCCAGATCCAGGCCAGGCATCCCCCTGGCAGGGGTGGCTCGGGGAGACCGCTGGCCCATTTGGCTGAGTGGAGCCCCAGAGTCTGGGACCTCACCAGAGGGTGGCAGTCAGGGATGCTTTGGGGGAGGCATGGGGGACAGGGCAGGGGTAGCTCACCATGACATAATGTCTCTGCATCTCCGTCTTCTCGCTCACCAGCTTCTCACATTCCAGCTTCAGGCTGCAAAGAAGATCCACGGTTTTCATTCACAGACCTACATCTTCTGCCCTGTCCCCCCAGTTCCCACTTTCCACCCCGTGACCTCTGCAAGCTCAGCACATCTCCCGCCTCCCCCTGTAGTCTTATGGGACCGCAGGGGTGTCACACACCCACCCCTAACTGGCATTGCCATCCCTGAGGGACACGAACCCTGCGGCTGTGCTGCCCACACAGCCCCCGCTCCCCCATGGGCGGTCTATCACACCCACCCGGTACTCTGTTCCCGCAGCACCGCTGCCGTCCCCTCCACATCACCCTGTACCCAGCTCAGCTGGAGGAAACAAACCGTGGGTGGTCTCCCCCTTGGGACCCCCACTCAAGACCTAGCACCCCAATTCACAGCTTCATGCTACCCCTCAGCCTAGACCCCTCTCCCATTCTTCCCCAAGCACTCCTTTCAGCAGGAGCCCTGTCTCCATCTTCTCCTGCCCCAATCCACCCCCTGGTCTGTGCCCCATCCTCCCCCGTGCCCAGACTCCCCTCTCCCCGTGCCCTCAGTCCCCGTTACACCCCTTCTCCAGATGCTCGCCGCTGCCCGCAGCCCTGCCTGACCCCCGGCCACCTCCTGCCCCCTAAGCCACCTCGTCTCCCCACCTCCCGCC